GACGAGAACGGGAACCCCCGGCTTGATTGAGGTGAGCGTATGATAATCCAGATTATCATTCTTTTGTCAAGGGCTAGTGCGTGAGCTTGATCTTTGTCTCAGCCGATACCGAACCTTTAAATTGGTGGGGAGCTTATATCCTGTAAATAAATTTAAATTTAACTATATGCGTGAATTTATTTTTGTTCGGATATGGGCGCGCTCCTCACCTCCTTCTTTACACACCCTCACCGTAAAAAATGTCTTCTTTATATCTAGTCTAAATCTATCCTATTTTACTTTAATACCATTATCCCTTGTTCCATAACCACTGGCCCTGGTGAAAAGTCTCTTTCCATCTTTCATAAGAAAGCCCCCTTTTAAGTACTGAAAGGCCACAAAAGGGTCTCCCCAGAGCCTCCTCTTTTCCAGGCTAAACAACCCCAACTCCCTCTGTCTTTCCTCGCAGGGGAGGTGCTCCAGCCCTTTGATCACTTCCATGGCCCTCCTCTGGACCTGTCTGATCATGTCAATGCCATTCTTGTATCATTGGCTACAAGTGACTACAGTTGGATTTCAGGGCTGTGAGCACACATTGCTGCCTCACATCCGATTTTTCACCCACCAGTATCCCCACGTCCTTCTCTGCAGGGCTGGCCTCAATTCATTCATTCTCGTCTGTAGTGACACTGGGACTGCCCCAACCCGAGGTGCAGGAACTTGCACTTGGGGAGGTTCACACGGGCCAACCCCACGAGCCCATCAAGGCCCTTCTCGCAAATCAGCGGCACCACTCCGGATCCGTACGTACAGAATTGGCCACTATACATTCCAGCAGCTAGAATTTAAAGGGACACAGTCAAATGCATGAGATTACATTTTTACACAGTGAAATTCTCACATCAGCTACACAAAAGTTTCTCCTGTGACAGCTCACGAGGAAACAGGAACCATTCGGTAGGAAACACCTCCACTGTTGTATCTATTTGGTGGCAGCACTTCACCTGCAGCCAGCGTCACCAACAGGAACCCTCCTCTCCTCATGCACCAGCGGGACCGGGTCACTCATGCAGGGTTCTGGAGGGAGCAAGCATGCACGCTCGGCCCCAGGCGCTGCAGGAGGGTGCACACAGCCAGAGCGAAGCTGCAACTCAAGAGGCGACAAGCAGGCACGGGCACACACACCACAGGAACGAGAAGCCCAAGGGGACTGAGCTTCAATGCCTTGGATACTGCTCCGGGTTCCACCAAATAGCCTTCCAAACTTTCAGTACCAGAGCAACAGCTGGAGTTTTTAGAACCAGGATGTAAGTTCCTTTGAAAAACGGTGACAGTGTCCCTTTAAATACTGATTTCATTTGACAGTTTCAGAACTATTCCAATGCTAATTGAAACAGGGCGAAGCTTTTCAAGAACAGATCTCACAAAACAGATCCTTGGCAATATGATGCTAAAAAACAATAAATAAATAAGGTGCTCATTTCTAGCAGTTACCTGATTCCCCTTATTATGTAAGGTTTTCAAACAATGAAAATTACCTGTCCCGAATATCAGTGTCATGTTACATATCCTATGAAAACCATATTAAATATTGATTAGTGAAACAGTCAGTAGTATACAAACCAGTCAAAGTCTTTCACATTATTGAAACTTTTGTAGTCAGAACATATCAGAAGACAGAAAAGGGAGGTGTGGGAAAACATCAACACAAGTCAAGGCTAAGCACCAAATCCCAGACAAATGAAGTAAGAGAAAAAGCTTCAAAATGACTCGTTGCATATTGTTGGTCTGATGTAGTTAATCATAACTTCTGGGTGTTATAACTGGGTTCTGAAAAGATAAATTCACAAAATTCACTTTCCTTCTGCTTAATAATATCACAAGTAGGATGAAAAAAATCACCAAGTATGGGACCATTGCTTCCTGAACCAAATGAAGCTGAATTCACAAAAGCTCAAAATTAACAAGAGTAAAAAAAAAAGGTGAATAAAAGTTCTTCCTGAGGGGGGGGGAAAAAAAAAGTGTGTTGCATTACTAAACTATATTCATTAAGGGTGGCAGTTCACAAGTACTATATTATTACAAAATGAGCTTACAAGAGAGAAATATTGAGCTATTCT